AAGTGTTCTCTCTTTGGTTCCTGTTTTTCTTGGGCAATGTACCCTGTCAGAGACTGATGGTCTAGATGTTAGTAACCATCCTTTAACTTGTACTCATCTAGGGACATTGTGGCCCACTCCCTTTTTTGYTTATGACTTTAGATCTCATGACRTTCGTTTATAGCAATAGCCACTTATGCCTTAATATGGTTTGGGACTACAAAAGGTGTACTCAAGACCAGGAGGGGGTCAAAGGGTATAGACTTGCAGCCTACCCCTTGGCCCACCAGCTGGTGGATCCGGAATGACAACTGGTGAATGAGATTCCGTCTCTGTTAAMGTCCTTTAAGATCAACTTGGTGATTTATTGCAATCTCGCCTTAACATGTGCCTCATTCCTTCTTTCCTGTGAGGAGGGAGACTGGAATCTTTAAGGAGGAACCTAAAAAAACAATTTCTATGAGACAGAAACTGTTCAGGGGACTTGACTCATCCCCAAGGACACACAGTTCCCAAACAGGGGGCTGTCCTCTATTTAGATCAGTCCTCTGATTCTCASTAAGCAGACAGCCACCACCACCCCTCGCTTCACCCCCCGGCCTCCAGAACATTCAGCCCCGGGAAGTGTTGGCTCTTTGTCCCAGTGCACCAAAATAGCAACCTACCAGATTCAGTTCCTGTTCCTTTTGAGTCTTTAAACACAGCCAGAGAGAGAAGGAGTCTCATTAGAACAAGCCACACGTGACAGCAAATAAAAACCCAAGTGGTTCTGTACTGCCGGAGGGGAGCAGGGTGCTGGGAGGCCGGATGAAAGCCCCTTGTCCTGCTGCAGAGGCTGGTGGTGGCCGTGGCCTTGCTGATGGACCCGGGAGCCCCTAGGCCCTGGTCTTGTCCCCARTCGCTGCCTTTGATCAGGGTTTGGGATGAAAGCCCCACAGAAGACACTCTCCAGAGAGCCCACACGCTGACATCACAGGACAGGGCAGGTGGCAAGAGAACTGCCATTTTGTCTTTCCTACTCTGGTGGCCTCTAGGAGGAAGACGGATGGGGACTATTAGATGGGGCAGAACTTCAGTTCTGCAAGATGAAGAGTCCTGGAGATGGAAGTGGAGATGGCTGTCCACCAACTGAACGTACTTCATGCTGCTGAGCTGCACACGTACAAATGACCATTTTTCTCTTCTGTATATTTTGCCAGATTTTAAGATTAAATAAATGAAAGAGGCGCCTCCTGTGGTCTCGCCCAGCCCTGCCTGCCAGCCCCTGCCCCTCTGCGTGGAGGCACAGAGCTGTCACCGTGGCCTCTCTGGGGGAGCTACTGCTGGGGCCTCCTTGGTGGCACTCAGCACTCAGGTCACAGGAGGTAGCCCCTGGCTCCCTCCAGGAGGGCAAAGGAGGTTGAGGTCTCCTGGTCTGTCCTTTGAGCCCAGCTGGCAGCCTTGCCTCCCTTCACACAGGCCTCTAATCCTCTAGGCAGCCTGGTGTCCAGGACGGGTCTCGGTGGACAGTCGCCTCGGYGGCCTCTGGTGCCCACCTTGCCTTTCCCTTTTCCCCTCTCTGTGGCCACAGCCATCACAGGTTTGCTTTCTGTTATGGGAAAGGAGACATGTAGCCTTGGGTCCAACCCTGGCTCAGCAGTTTCTGGGCCGTTGCCTTGGCAGCCTGCGTGGAGCGATTGTTCTTCAGTTCCCATCCCTCTAAAGTGGGCCTCATAAAGTGTCCTTACCATTGTTCTAGGATTGAGTTGATCTGTACTCTAGACCAAACACGGACAGAGAGAGGCAGCRGTGTATGGCTGACACCTGGGCTCTGGAGCCAGATGATAGGGACAGCCTTGGGCAGGTGACTCCATTTCTCTGTGCCTATTTTCTCTTCTAAGGAATGGGGATAAGAGTACCCTACTATTGCAGGATTGCATGCTCTACACTTAATTCAGAAGACTGTGAGCACACTTTCTGCCTATGTTTAGGGTTCAATACACGTTATTCACTATTGTTTATCATTAAGAAAAATGAGAATACAACAAAATTCCCAGATAAAGAAATTGTGGTGTATATATATACAAAATGGATTATTACTCAGCCATAAAGAAGAATGAAAAAAAAAATATGGCATTTGCCAGAAAATGGATGAAACTGGAGACTATCACGCTAAGTGAAATTACCCAATCTCCAAAACTAAAGGCTGAATGTTCTCTCCGTTACGCAGATGCTGACTCACAATGGGAGGGGAGCCAGAACAGAAGTTCATTGGATTAGACAAAGGGGAATGAAGGGTGAGGAGGAGGGATGGGAATGCGAAASACAGTGGAATGAATCTGACATAACTTTCCTATGTTCTTATATGAATACACGACCAGTGAAACTCCACATCATGTACCACTACAAATGGGATCCTAATTAAATTCRTTACACTCCATGAGTTTCTCATATGTCAAAATACACTCTGTCATCCTATCTAAAAAGAACAACAACAGAATAAGCTGACATGAAAAGTATTTATAGGCATATTGTAAACACTTTCGAAATTATTCTGGATTTGGATATGAACTAGGAGATCTGTCCTAGAGGCTTCCTCCCCACGTGATGCAGAACTGTACTTAAACAGTCCATGTTCAGATCAGTGTGCTAGCTTCTACAGTAATCATCACGGGACTTAAAGAAGATGTAAAGCGCACACACACACACACACACACACACACACACACACGCAGATGGACTGCCAGAAGGGAGCAGAAGAGCAGAGGATATGGATGTGTTCCCCCCAACACCATTACCCTGTGACAACTGCAATTGTCCAAGATCTTGCAAATAGAGCACCCATGTTGGCATCTCTCAGTCTTGATTATGCTTGAAAAAGTGGTCAAACAAGAGCCAGGACAGGATGTTTCTGAAAAGTCAACCCTAAAGGGCAAAGTGTAYGAGCTTTTCTCTGTGCCCTCCTTGTGCCCTTCCAAGGCCAAAGAAAATCCTTTAGGTGTCATTTTTTTTTAATCCATACACAAAACATGAAAAGTGTCAGTGTCAGATTTGGTTCATTCAAATATTTGAAGCCCATTGTAGCCAGACACTTTCAAACATGTCTAAGGCCTCAGATTACGTGGTGTTTTCTTAATTGATAGAAGAAATGAGATCTAAAGATCAAGAGTCGCCCAACGTTACACAGCAGCTACACAACAAGCTGGGATTAGAACCTCTCGAGGATTTAGGGTCAGCTCTCCTTCAGTTATTGTCAAGAGTAGGACCATAGAAGTTGAGTGCTCCTCACTGCAACTTTTGGTTTCCCCCATGAAAGGTACAGTATGTAAACCAGGGGGTAGAAATCATCCAGGGGCAGAATTAGTGGTCCCTTACATCTAGTCTTCTCCACCGAGTTTGTGGTTAGGCTCATTCAAATCAGACTCTGATTAAATTCCAATAAATGTGTTAGGTCTCTGCCTCTTTCATCTCATTCTCACAGTGCAAGATTTTAAAACGTTTACTTAATAAATAGAAGRATGCCATGTTCTGAAGATGGGAGAACAGGATACATACAGAACTTCCAGTCTAGGGAAAGCGCGACAGTCACTCGACATGGAGGTCCAAGGATCTTAAGGTGCATCATGGGAGTTCAGAGCAGAAACTCCACCTGATATGACAGGGACGGGTGGCAGGAAGAGGCCTGAAAATGGAAAGGGCTTAACCAGGAGGAGGGGGTGGAGGGGGTGGTGAGAGTGTGCCTCAGAATCTGATTTTTTTTTCTTTGCCTTTGACTGAAAAGGAGAACTTGATGTGTTCTAGGAAGAAAAGAAGCTCAGTGTTGGCTGGATCCGAGTACACAGAGAGAGGGAAATGTGGTCAGAGGAAAAAGAGCCTCGTGGGCTCTTGTTAAGGAACGGGACTTGATCCCCAGGCTGGAAAAGCGCTGAGCAAGGTTTGCTAATCACATCTGCATTTCTCACTCTGGCCTTTGAGCCTCCCCTTCTGTGCAGCCTCCATGGTGCCCAATGAGCCTGTGTATGAAGCATCTTGAGGTCAAACATAGACTGTTCCTCCTAATCTGGGAGCCCGTTTCAGTCTTCAGGGGTGTGTTCAAGTTTGTTCAGGGGCTGTCCCTTGTTTGTTATAGGAATGCCAAAGTGAAATCRTTCTTAGTCTGATATCCGGGATGATTAAATGACCAGCATCTGTAGTATGAATTAGAYTTTAATGTTAACAAATTTTTTGGAAGAATTTTTACTTCGAGCAGAAAATCACTATGAGATCTATACATACACGCACATAAAAAGATACAGAATTTCCCCCTGGGAAAAATAGGACAATGAAGAAATAAACCTTGATGTTTCATGTCCCTGGGGTTTATCCCATGTGGGCATGGTTCTTGTTAATGCTTTTATCAACTTCTGGTGAAATTTTAGTGGACATCCATTGCTTTTATAATTAGCCTGTTAAACAGTTGCCCTACCTAAAGACAGGAATCTATTTCATACCATAAAAACTTAAAAAATCATTACTGGCCTTCACTTGAGTGGTCTTTTGAGTTATACACAATTTAAAAAGAGGTAGGGACTGGAAAAACTAAACTAAAATCCAAAAGGTAAAGTTATCAGTTAATACCAGCTGGTGCTAACTCTACACCATTATGAAACCTGTGAATTCACTTTTGGCATTGGCCAAAAATTGGTCTCAGTTAACATTGTTTTTGTAAGAGTGTTGGAAAAAAACAATGGAACTCTGTCACTCTTTCAAAATTGTTAGTGCAAACTACATTCACCTGTCAGGAGAAGAGATAAATGCAATGTGTGCTCTCCGAGTTAAAAAAAAAAAAAAAAAAAAAAGGTGTGTTTTAAATAAGACTTTAAACAAAGACTTCTTTTAGAGTTTTAGATCCATTGCTGGCTGCTTAGAAAATAGCTTTCTTGGTTCAGTTCACAATTCTGAAGTCTTCCCCACCAAGGGCTATCCAAAGGAGTGTCCTGCCCTGGGGACAGAGGCCAGGGCGCAGGCTGGGCTGGGTCCATCCTCGGCTTGCTTCCTGATCTTCATATCTGTGTCTGTGAGACAGGCCCCAGTGTGGGGTACAGGTCATTCTTTTCTGCACCCTTTTTCTTTTCATCCTCATCAAACTGAGCCTCGACCTCTGCTGGATTGATGTAGGTGTAGAATCTAGCCATGATGGCAAATATCACACAGACGACCAGAAGCAGCGCAGCAAACAGAATGTACTCGGCCCACTGCGAAGGAATCAGAGTTGCAGCAAGACAAAACCAAACAAAACAAGTCATATTCACGTGCATATGGTGCGAACATTTTCTTGCTATGTCTACGTAGAAGTTGCTATGGATTAAGTTGTTATGGGAAGTTGGTAGGAACCAATACAGATTCAGATTGGCCAGCTTTTCTTGAATGCCTAAGTGACTGACAACATTTTTCTAACAGCATGGAGGTGCAGAAACACAGGATTTTGGAAAGATGAAAGAAAATTTCTAAAATACTCAGGCCTTAAGATACATGGCTGGTGCTGGAAGGATGTGGACCAAGAGAACAGCAAGCAGCACCCTTATGGGGAAAAGGATGTGCTGAGCTTTACCAAGGTGACACCCTGTGTTCTTCCTGGGTGCACCCTGTGCTTGCGAGCCCTCCCATCCACCCCGATGGGAGGACAGTGGGAAGAGACAGCTGTGATGCCCCAGTGCTGAAGACAGTGTTGCAGTGTCCAGAAAGCCCTCATTTTATTTTAGCTGAAAAAAATCAACCACTCAAAGATGGCTTTAACTTCAGGTATTAGAAACATTTCTAGATAATAGGTCTAGTTTAGGGCTATTGAGCGGTATTAACTGAGGCTTGGAAAGTTAGTTTCCAAGTAAACCCCACTAAGGTGGTTTGACTCAACCTGGTTATTTCGGTTGTCAACTTCCAAAGTGTGGCACCAGGTGAAAATAAGAATCAGTACACACTTTGCCAGAAGGCCATTGATAGCAACCCTAACTGGTCAGTCTGGCCATTTTATCCAGCCACCAACCCAGTGACCACGTACTTAGAGGTGGCTGGGAAGGGTCTTGGTGACGACCACTAAAAGATTAGGCAGAGGTACATCCTCTTTCCTTTCCCGTCCCATACCTGCTCGCTGAAGTGGCCTGCCCCTGCCACAATAAGCACAATGATGTTGCCGAAAGCCACCGTCAACAGCCATCCGGCTTGGAGCACCGACTTCATGTTGGAAGGAGCCTGGGGAGACAAAGGAAAGAGAGTCTCAACTGGATGTCAGCCTCGGAGCAGAACCCGGCTCACTGACTTCCTCCATGGGCGGTCTACTGCCCTAAGTGCATATTGGAGGCCAGCTCGCTTCATTTAACATGAAACGGGTAACCAGGCACCCCGCCTCCCCGCTGCAGGAGCACAAAGAATCCCCRGGCTTCCCTCTCCTCCCCGCACACTGAGCTCCTCTTGGTGAAAGGAGCAGAGCTCCAGGTGAACTGACTCAACCTCTGCAGGACAGTTTCCAGACCAAGCCACCCAGCGCACCCCTCCCCACAAATGGAGGCTGCTCTCTGGGATATAAGCGTGCTCTTTGCGGCTTCTTGGCCACGTCACCAAAACCTATCTCCCAAGTCTCATCACCTATGTTATGGTCACCCCCTCTGTTAGACTGTGAGGTCATCACAGAAAGGCATTATCCAGCTCACAGTTACCATCTTTACTACAAACATAGAAGGCACTAGAAATTGTGGGTTACACTGGCTGTAAGTGCAGTTTTAAAATAGTCTGGGACACTAAGCTCTGATGTGCATATCAACAAAATTTGCCTCATTTGGCTGCTGTGCTTAAAAGCAATATTTAAAACTTCTTAAAGCTAGGTCTTATTTGATGTTTTCACTGGTAGCCACAAAGAGATCTCAAATAAATCTAAAGTATGATGAGGACACAGAACTGTAAATGAACACTTTCATGAATAGTTAGTAGCATCAGCTTATTTCAAATTGTAGAATCTGCCACCATGGTCCTGGTAGCAGTCATGAATGTCGTTTTTTCCTACATAAGACTCGTAACTTCTAGGGTGACCACAGGAATTCAGACACACAATGGACACACGCTCAAAAGCTAACAGCGTGGTGTCCTTACTCAGTGATCCTGTCAACCCCAAAGACCTTGGTCTGGGGAAAACATCATAATGCTTTCTAGAATTTTTAAAAACTACAAACATACAGCTATTCCAGATTTAAATTAAGTTCCTGCAGCATTTTATGAATCTAGGGGTGGAGATGGGAGGGGTGGTAAAGACAATGAACAAGAAACCTGTGAATATGAGAATTCCAATCCTGTAATGGAGAAGACCACCTCGCCACAGGTGAGAAGAAAATACTGCGGGATTTGCAGAGCCATGTTAACTGTGTTGGGTGGAATGTCTTCAAACTCCTCCAGTTTGGGGCAGCCATTACCCTAAACCACGAAGGCAAAAGCAGGAAGCTGAAACTGAAGTCAGGTAGCTTCTAGAATGACAGTTGTTCCCACAGGCAAACTGGGCTCGACCTTCTAGGGGATTCAGTCAAGCGAATTATGAGTAAGTACGTGTCTTAAATGTGCAAGTGAAGCATTGCCTGTTATGTTTGTGTGGAAATGGAAAATATGTTCACTAGCATTTTCCTTTTAAATAAGACAGGAGATTAGAAACCAGGTTTGTTTAAAACACGGCCATCCCTTTGAACTGCACATTTCTCAAGTCCATGTTAAATAGTCTGTAAGGAGCTGGGTGTGGTGGCTCTTGTCTGTAATTCAGCTACTCTAGAGGCTAAAGCAGGAGGATCGTGAGTTCAAGGCCAGCCTGGGCAATATAGCAAGACTGTCTCAAAATGAAAAAAAAATAAAAAGAGCTGGGTATGTAGCTCAGTGGCAGAGAGCTTGCCTAGCATGTTTGAGACCCTGGGTTTGATTCCCAGGAAAACGTAGTAGTAATAGTAATAATGAGTCTATAAGTAAGCAATGGATACTGGCCAATGTGAACTTGTAATCAGTGTCACTCAGTCTGAGGATTCTCTTCTAATGGTTGTCTTAAGTCAATAATTAATTAGAGAAATAACTGTAAGCCCATTTACACTACAAATCCTACTATTCCTCTCATGAAATGGACGTCCTCACTGTGAAGAGTCAGATCAACACAAGTGAGTAGAACTTCTAAGACGATGCGATGAATCACTAACCTCCCTCTGGATCACATATGTATAAGCGCTACCAAATTCAAGGTTGGAAGATTCAAGATCTTGTGTACAGTTTTGTGAAATCTCTGTTGAGTTCACTATGATGGTTTTTCTATGAAAAGAAAGAATAACATTGTTAATGTTCTTGGTATTAAAGCTTCAAAAAATACTTGACACTCTTGTACCAGGAGCCAAGTGTCTAGTAGTACTTACTTGCCAGAAGGGAAAAACTGATATTCGCTGGCACTGTGACTGGTGATATTTTCAAAAACTCTCCCATCCATTGTAATGCTGATCATTTCATTAAAAGTATTTACAAATCTGAAACAGAAAACCGTGGTCTCATAACTGAACCAGATAGCAATTTTCCACAGTTCACAGGACACGCACCTGATATTGGTCCATGACCCTTTTTTGAAGAAATTGAAGATGCTTTCAGAAAATCCCTGGAGTCTAAAGACAGACAGTTTAGCACACTAGGTTGCCCCTGCTTGCCCAACAACCCGGAGAGAATTGATTTAACACTGTATTAATATAAGTCGGGTACTGTTCTAATTACTTTGTAGGTATTAACTAGTCTATGGACATTTGGGGATACTGAGGAGGCACCAAATAGGGACTGAGCTTTATGCTCCTTGCTTCAGAAGTGTTAAAGAAGTGAAGGAGGGTGTGATTATTCAGTGGTAGAGTGCTTATCCAGCATGCACGAGGCACTGGGTTTGATTCTCAGCACCACATATAAATGAATAAATAAAAAAAATATAAAGGTCCATCAACACTAAAAAAAAAAATTAAAAAAAAAAGAAGTGAAGGACCCCAAACAGAAGTTTCTCAGTACCTAGAACACAGCCTCCAAAAGGTTTTCTTCTGGAGGCAGGGAAGGAGACTTTTAATTTCAACTGCTAGGAGGCTGGCTGTGACAAGGAAGGGTCACAAGGTTTGGAGAGGAAGAAGTGGGACAACCCAGTAAACATTTCCCACGTGGCTCTGGAGAGACAGTTAGCACCCTGCAGGAGTGGAACAACTGATGAGCCTGGGCTGCCCCGAGTCTTCCAGCCTCAGCGAGTTCCCCTGCCTCAGCTTCATGCGGAGTCAGGTGAGTTGCCTGCCTTCCTGGGACCAGACAGGTGGTGAACAGCAAGGACAGGTGATTAGAGATCACTTCCTTAGATGTTCCAGGCTACAGAAGATCCCCAAATTCTTGTACCACTCTAGGAATGAGGTGGGTGCTAGGAATGAGCCCAAATAAGATCAGCTCATTTTTTTCCCAACAAATAGGTGAGTGAAGGTTTATAGCAGATTATCCAATTTGGAGGACAAAAAGTAATAATGATGTACATCTAAGTACTAAAAAGAATAATTCAAACTTTGTATTCCTAAAATACATAACCAAGTTTTATCAGCTTTGTGACACATATGGATTCAATACAGTAGTTTATATATGTAATTTATAAAGGATATAATATTCATATGTGGTGGTCTCATACTCAAAATATGTTTATTAAAAGTGATCAAGAGTTTAAAGATCACCGGCCTAGAGAAACTTCCTACATTTAAACAAAGAAACAGGTAAGAAGTAAATGTGAATAAATAAATTGTGGCATATCCATACAGTGGAATATTCTACAGTGGAAAAGTGAATGGATAAGAGATGTATACATCAATATGGCTAAATATTAAAATAATTTCATATTACATTTTATAATATTATAGAATAACATGCACAGGATATAACTTTTATATCACATTAAGCTTAAAAATATAGCAACAACATATTGTTTATGGACACTGGTATGGTTTAAATATTAGGTGTCTCCAAAAGCTCATGCGTAAGACAATGCAAGGGAGTTTAGAGGAGAAATGATTGAGTTGTGAGAGTCATAAGTTAAGTGAATTGATCCCCTGTGGGATTAACTGAGTGGTGATGGAAGGCAGGGAGGATGTGGCTGGAGGAAGGGGGAAGGGGGTCATGTCTTTATATTTTATATCTGGTGAGTGGAGTCTCTCTTTCTGCCACTTCCCTCGACCACATTTTTCTGCCATGATGTGCAGTTTCACCTGGAGCCCTGAAGAATGGAGTTGGCGGTCTATGGACTGAGACCTCTGAAACTGTGAGCCCCCAAGTAAACTTTTCCTCCTTTAAAATTGCTCTTGTCAGGTCTTTTAATCACAGCAGCAAAAAAGCTGACTAAAACAGAAATTGGTACTGAGAGGTGGGGTTGTTGCTATAACTGACCTGACCATGTGGTTTAGAAGCTTTTGGAGCTTTATAGAATTTGGGGGAGGAATTTTGAGATGTTTAGCACTGCAAGCTGGAAATGCTGTAAGTGGACCTTAATGGACAATTCTGGTGGGAGCTCAGAAGACCAGAATGCCAATGGGACCATGGACAGTAGAGACAGGGATCAAGAGGGTTTGGAGGAAAGGGAGGCTACTATTGGTAATTGGATTAGAGGACATTTGTGTTATGTTCTGGCTGATAAGTTGCCTGAATTTTGCCTATTTCCTGAAACTTCCTATGAGGCTGATTTAAAAAGCAATGGAATTCTTAACTGGTGGAAAAAATTTCTAGAGAGTACAGCATTCAGGTGGTGTCATGGACATTGCTGGTGGTTTTTAGCCAAATTTATTGTGCAGGAGCAGAAAGCAAAACAGAAAGATTTAAAAAACTTGGACTTGAAAGGTGGGAGTAAAACTGGGGTTAAGAAAGTTACAGTTTAAAAGAAATTCCTGTCAGTAAAGAAATGCTAAAGACTTTGCCAGAGACAGTAAGAAAAACGGCTTGAGGGCATCTCAGGAATTGGCAAGACCACATCCATCTCAGACTTAAGAAAGTACAAGTAAAAATTCTCTCGAGATGAGACCAGTGGGACACTCTTTTTGCATGAGGGAGCCAAGGAAGCTCTTTCAATGTGTTCACCCATCCAGGCACTCAGAGGCTGCTGCAGCTGTGGTCCCTGGAGGTTTGGCCACTGGTTAAGATGGCTGTAGACCTTGGCAGCAACCATTTTGTGCTGATTCTGCAGGATTGCAGGATGCTGGAGTTAGGGGGTCATGGAGACTTCTACCAAGATTTTAAAGGATGATCTGAAAGGACAGGCAAAGTGCAGCAGGTTCGGAGTCCCTGCGGGCACCCCTTGAGAGGGCAATGCATAGAGATGTGAGGGGGAAGCAGAATTGCAGTGGAGATGCCTGAGATGAAGAAATGGCAGTACCATGGAACGTCTGCTGACGAGGCTGAAGGAATCAAGCTGAGATCAGCCAACAGAAAGGCCATTTGGGCTGCAACCAACAAGGCCACAGGAGCAAAGTGACACCAGCCCTTTGGACAGAACCTCACAATGCCATGTGCTCCAGATGCTGGACGTGAAGCTACTGGAGTTGTTTGTTCATGTGGATTTCAGTCTTGTTTTGTTCCTTTTCCTTCTTTCTGTGCCCTTATTTTTGTGAATGGAAATATTTACTCTGTACCTTTATATGTTGGATACCTGGAAATCACTTTTGGTTTTTATAGGATCTCATGATGCAAATTTTCCCTGGGTCTCAAAGGAGATGAGATGGACTTGAACTTTTGGGCAATCTTGAACAACTGAGACGATGGGAACTCTTGGAAATGGACTGAATGTATTTTGCATTGTGAGATGAGCATGAGCTTTTCAGGGAGAGAGGTGGAATGTTATGGCTTAGAAATTAAGTGTCCCCTAAAAGCTCAAGTGTGAGACAATGAAGTAGGTTTAGAGGAGAAATGATTGTTTATGAGAGCCTTAACCCAATCAGTGTATTAATCCCCTAATGGATTAACTGAAGGCAGATAGGGTATGGCTGGAGGAGGTGGGCCTTGGGGTTGTGCCTTTGAGGGATATATTTTGTATCTAGCAAGTGGAGTCTCTCTCTGCTTTCTGATCATCATGTGAGCCACTTCCCTCCACCACACTCTTCGATCATGATTTACATCTCCCCTTGAGCCCTGAAGAAGATCTTGCTATTTATGGATTGAGACCTCTGAAACCTTGAGCCCCCAAATAAACTTTTCCTCCACTGCGATTGTTCTTGTCAGGTCTTTTAGTCACAGCAGCGAAAAAGCTGACTAAAACAGATGTATATAATATGTATCAATAGGTAATGTTAACAATGCATGAGAAGGATCAATATCAAACCCTCAACTAGTTTTGCCCAGAAGTATTATTATATTTTAAAGTTTCTATTTAAGGCAATCAATTAAGTCTTTCAACTTACTGATAACATGTGATCAAAAGGATTATATTTGCTTAAACTTTTATATGTTCTTCCTTTAATTCACTTTCCTCAGAAGTCTGACTTGCTGAAATTCTTGAAGTTATCAGTTATTTTCTCACATTGGGTTTCTAGAGCTTCCTGTTGTTTTTTCTTTTTATGTGTTGTCTCTGGGGCATTACTAAAATAATAAAACCCTTGATCCATTAAGAATTTTATATTTTCGGTTAATAGAAAAAGGTTTCTCTTTTACCACATGGGTGGAGGTGATAGTGGGTTCAATGTGTTACTGATCTCATGTGTCTCTCTTCATTTCCAAGATTTCATCAAAGACATTTTTTTTAAATAAGTTTTTATAGCATGGTACCAGATCAGGAAAGGACACCACAATCTAAATTTTCCAAAGTTTCCAAAATTAGGATGATTTTGAAGAAATCAAAGCAAGGAAAACCATGGTCTGAGGCAAAAATGAAAGCCCAGAGGTGCTTCTGGCTCAGAATCAAAAACAGAGCCCAGGAAAGCACCAGGGGACTGTCATCAGTTTATCTCCCTCCTGATCCAGGAGGGCCGCTATGTGTATGTGCATGTAGGTAGGACAGAAGGACGGCTCCAGAGATCTGATAGAAGGTGTTGTGTTCTGAGCTGTATCCCTCCCAAATTCCCATGTTGGAGTGTGAGATCTCAGTACCTCAAAATGGGAGTATTTAGGGAGAAGGTCCTGAAAGAGATAAGATTAGGTCACAGGGTGGCCTTAATCAAGTAGGACTGGTGTCCTTGCAGGAGCAGCAGAGCAGGACACAGGTATGCACAGAAGGAGGAACACATGAGGACACAAGGGCGGCCCTCTGCAGGCCAAGGAGGCAGGCCTCACAAGCACCCAACCCTTCTGGCACCACCACCTCGGACTTCCAGCCAGAGGAACGGCTAGAACCCAAATTCCTGTGTGAATAAGCCACCCAGCACGTGGGAGTTTGTCATGGCAGCCCTAGAAAATTCAAATAGAAGAGAACAAAGAAAATGAAGGAATAAACAAAGAACTGAAAGGGACTTGTGTTGGTAGATGAATGACATTATACCCATGCGAGGTA